CAAAAACCAGCAAATAGTACTGATTTCCAGCTGCCATTTTCCACCCATTTTTGGGCATTTGTATTTCCCTTTTAACCCTTCAGTACAAAACCACGTAGCCCAATCCCAATTGACAAGAAGCTTCCAGATTAAAAGCCATCTAATGGCTTGAAATGGACAGAAAATGCAGTTCTAAATCTCATCCTTAGGTGCTAGGTTTTGGGGTATTTTTGAGTACCCATAAAAAGGCTCCAAAAAGAACGCAGAAGGGAAGAGTGGCGGCGGAAAAAGGAACGGAGAGAGAAAAACAGAAAGAAAAAAGAAAAACGAGGAAAAAACAGAGGGCGGTGGACAGAGGAGCTAAGGGAGATTGGAAGTGGCGGCTAAAAGAACAAAGCAACAAAGAAAGACTGAAAAAGAAGCTTCGGGCAGTAGAAAGCTTGGATGAGGGAACAAAAGAAAATAGAGGAGAAAGGTTTCAACAAGAAACTAGAGTCGAGGAAAAGCAGAGGAGCAAAGCCGCGGAAAAACAGGGTAAGGAAGGTTCATCGGAAGAGTTGCCGAAACCGCCGCCGCTCATAGTCGCCACCACCTCACCGAACCCACCAGAATCTTCCCTTGCTATCTGCGAAATCTTGCCAAGCAAGAGCACTGTAAGTTTTTTTTCCTCTCTTTAAATTTCAGTTCTTGTCAAGTTTTTGAAATGGGTCTGCCGTGGCATTATTTAGTGCAATTTTCCTATTAATTGGCCTTAATTTCTGAATACACATGATGCATACGTTGATTGGGCTGAATTTCTTTGTTTCTGACAAATTTTTGGGCTAGTTACAGCATTGATTGAACAAAGAATCATTAAAAATTTTTATGCTCTTTTGTTGCTAGACAAAATGCTCAACTAAAAATTCCCCTTGAATGATGACCTGTGCGGTGAGTTAAAATTCCATTTCAGACCTGGTCGAAAATTGTACAAATTGTGGGCTTCTTTAATGGTTATATTTGTTTAGCTAATGAGGTTGATTGTGCCTATAGCGGACATGTTTACTTGCTTAACCCTATTCTTAGGAAGTTTAAGATGCTGAAATTTGAGTTTTCTTGTTATTGTGATTGGACGGAAAAGAACATCCTGTTTTTTTAGAATTTGGGTTTTGTGAGCAAGATAATGATTTCAATGATTGGTTGCATGTGGTTTGTTGATTGGGTTGAAATTTCTGGTTTATCTGATAATGTTGGGGCTGGCCGTGACTTCATGGGAGTGACAATCATTGAAGTTCTTAATGCCCATTTTCTGTTTGATAAAAGGTCCGAATGAAAATGAAAAAATAAGTAAATCTTTTGTAGTCCATGCGCATTGGGAGATGGGCAGGGGATTTAGTCTTGTTGATTTCGGTGGGTTTGCATATGGAAAAAAAAACTCTTATCAGTTCAATTTTAGTTATGGCATTCGTGCAATAGTCGCATAGCCTTCCCCCTTGTCTTTTGTTTGGTTTTCAGAAATTGGTAAAAGAGTGCATTTGATGGCAAAAGTTATTAATCGAAAATTGGAAGGAACTTGGGGTTTTGATGTTAACTGTATTCTGTTTTGCTTTCGTATTTGATTCACTCTAATTGTTGAGAGTTTAATTTGATTCCAGTTGAAGCTGTATGTTTTGGTTTGTAGTCTAGATTCATTTGTCAATCTTATTAGCATGACTTGGTTTTGCGCATAAAGTTGCTTCGCTTATAATAAAAATAGGTGTTACTGGTTTTAAGAAACCAAAAAAAGAGTGGCAGAAAGTTTAGTGACAGTAAGCTTATTCGCATGTTGCATGGAAGACTTTCCAAAATTGCACTCAATCCCACATGTTTTCACCTAATGCCACTATGGCCCAAGCAATTGGAAAAATCAATCAAATTGACCCCTCAAACTTTTCTTTTCTTTCCAATTGGGTCCTTGTTTAGTGAATATGGGCTGTTTTAGTTATTTAAATGCTTTAAATGGTTCAATTTCATATTTATGTGGTTATTTGTGATGCCTTGACCTTTTCTTTGTTTTTAGAGGATGAATAAGTAATTTCACTCCATTAGAGCCCCGACTCAAGGGAGATACACTCTATCCCTTATTTCTTACTCTATTTGACCCTACTTGCCCTATGTGATTTTACGTGTTTAATTGCATGCCTCTTAAATGTTTTTATTATTACTTATTTATTTATTTCATTTATTTTCTTTGTTGGCTTTAGTTTGTATATTTATTTTTAGTTCAATTTTGATCTTTTGAAAGGCACTTGAATGCCAAAGTTGTAATAGCTAGGTTATTATTTTATTTATCCCTTCTTAGACTGTAGTAGGCTTCCCCAATATAATAGATAGGGCTCATTTGTTTGTTTGCTTGCTTCGTTTTGCTTGCGTGTTTGCCTGCCTATGTGTTTAATTGCTTTTCCTAGGTTTCTGCATCTAGATAAGCATGCTTATGTGCTACGTGCTATGTAAAACTATGTGCTTTGCATGTCTATTTGCTTTAGTATTACACCTGATTATGTGGATGGAATGTACGTTACCGTAGCTAGTCCAATGCTAGTCATGGTCTTCCCCTTGATCGCTCACAAGTCCAATGCTTGTAAGGGAACGTTAGTAAAGGGCTAGTCCAATGCTAGACCCAATAGGACCGTCCCTCGCTAGTACATACTTGCATGACTTCATTACATCTTTATTCATTTTTCCTTTTTAGTTTTACATTTTTGCATGGCCCTTCACTCCCTTTCTCGCATTTGAAACATGATTTTTAGGATTTTGCATTTCATTCTAGTTATTAGGGTCATTTGCTTGTATAGATAGGGAAACACCCCTTGAGTATGGGATATAGACGAGTTTGACTTTCTAACCTTAGCACACTCGTATTTCCTCTATTAAAGGGAAAATTGAGTCACGAACATTAGTTTCCCGTACCCGTTTTGATTGCATTCCTTTAGGGCTCATGCATTTTCAAGGCACATTACCGTTTGCACTCTCACTTTATACATTTTCACTCTGCACACGAGACTTTATCCACTTTATCACTTTTGCACATTCTCACATTTACATTTTACTTACTCATTTGCACACCTACACCTTACACTCTCTCTCATTTGAACATGTGCACTTTTACACACCCATTTACACACCTACACTTTACACACCTACTTGCACACTTGCACCTAGCACTCGTTTTTTTACACTCAAAGACATTTTTGCACACTCTCGTTTTTTCTCATTATTACTCGAGTATTCATTTGCATTTATTCGTGACTTCTTTAAGGATTCACCATTGGCTATCACAATTCATGTGATTAGGATCAATCGAGCCTCAAAAGAGACATTTTGCCCCATTAGAATCAATCATTAGATTTAAGTTGGCATTCATGTTAGGCACGTCCAAATGCGATACATCTTTTGGTTAGAAGTTAGGAAAATCGTGACTAAATCACACAACTAGCTTATGCTAGGTTGAGAGGGTGCCTTAGACATTGTCTTTGCCTTCCCTCTCTTCAACCATGACCCCCGAGCCATTTTCTCTAATTTATTGTAGATTTTGGAGTCAATCTAAAAAGGTTTTACTTCATTTTTTCAAAAAATTACTTTTTGGGTGATTTGGTACACCCTAACTCAATACTATGTGGCGACTCCTGCTTTTCTGTTTAAAAACCTTTTTAGATTATTATTTTGGGTCAAATCGTCGCATTTTCAAGTCCCATTTAGACCCATGTTCTTCATTTTCTTTTTAAATCAAAAATTTATTTTCCAATCAAAAAATTGAATCAAAAGCCATTCTTCTAAACTCGTCTTTTATTTTTCTTTATTTTCAAAAAATGGGGCGCGACAATACCTATCCAGCAGTGAACGATGGGTTTAGAAAAACTCTATAGATGAAACTCCAAGTTAAAAGCTACAGACAAGAAGCAATTTCATAAACCAGATTACCAAACATGTGAACAAAAAACTCCTAAAGAAAATATCACAGGAGTTTGAATTTCTATGGAACACTTAATTCTGATCAGAAACATCAAATTTTGGAAAAAAAAAACAAAGCAATTTATACCAACCTATAATAATAGTCCGAAAGTCAAAATAAGCAAATAAATAAGTAAAAGGACAAGACTGTACCTCAGGAGAAACCAAAAGCAATGAGATCTGACAAAATTTCTTGATGATATTAATGCAAATTACGCATATGCATCTTCACACTTCAAGTGCACGAGAGGTAATTTAATGTTTCTAAACAAAAGAAAAGGAATATCTCAAGAACCGAAAAAGCAACAAAGACAATCTTAACCAAAAGCAGCAAGAATAATTAAACCCAGCAGGATAATGCATCATCAGTGGAACAGTTCAATCAAATAAAACTTAGATCTTCAGACATATTCAAAGTGTAATACATTTGAAATTATTCTAACTAAAGCAATAGTAGAAATCCAATTTTACTTTCAAGCTCTTACCATCTATAATGAGTCAATCAAAATCCAATTTTTCAATCATTCTAATAACTAATTCTACAACCATAAATGCTACTCACACAAAAATTTTTCCAAAAAAAAAATCACTTAGGACTATGTAATTTTATTATTTCTTCTTTCTTTTTTGCTTCAGAATCAATAATAGAAAGTCAGAAATTAAAAAAAAAGGCAAAAAAGAAAGAAACTCAGAAAACTGCTCAAGTTACAAAGAAAAAGTAACAGAAAAAACTTACAGCATTGAATCAAACCAAAGATCTGTTCTTTCCCTTCATCTGCTTCACCTCATTTTCATTTCAAAAACTCTGATAAAAATGTATTTTGAACTAAAATAAAACCTTACAAAAACTGCTTAAATTAAAATAAAAAAGAAACTTATAGACCTGATTAGGCTGAAGATCCATACTTTTCTCTTCATCTGCTTATGCTTCTTCTCATCTTCTCCTTCTAATCAAGGAAAAAATAAAACAAAAAAAATACTTATAGAACCAGCCTAAATTTCAAAAAAAAAGTGAAAACAAAAGTATACATGTTCTGATGAAGATCTATTTTCCCCCTCCCTGCTTCTTTTCATGGCTTATATTTTTTTTGTCCCATTTCTCCTGCTGTTTAAAATGGGAACCTGAACATAATCAAAGCAAGACCATTAGAAATTTGTTGCCATTGTGAGAAGCTAATACAAAGAAAAATCAAAGATTCCTTAATCTTGCCTTTAAACCAAATTGTTCCATTTTCACCAAAATTATGCACGAATCTAGTTTCTTGTTTTCATGAAGCTCTATTTTTACTCTCAAAAGATTCCATTTAACCATTTAATGGTGAGATGAGGAATATATCCCGTAAAGTAAATTTCACAAATTTAAATATGTAAACAAATCGTTATAATTTACAAAATAAGCAATCTTGGCAATGGTGATTCGATGCACACCACAAATGTCCACTACCTAAGGCATGACAATCTGTATGTCAGACGTATCCATATGCTATTTTACCCAAACAATATAGACAGTCTAAATGAGCAAGAAATATAGAGTAAACCTCTTGAATGCTCTTAGATGGCAATAATTCTTAAAAGATATCTTACAATAACAGCATAATGGTCAACAACAAATTCAGTAAGTATTAAGTTTCGCGTAGTCGTATACCCCCCTAATGCTTCAAAGTAAGAATTAACCATCATTTCTTCTTTCTTCCCTCTCTTGACAAAAATTTGAGCAGAAAACCATAGAGCAAATCAATACATATATGAAGAGTAAAGCCTACAAAAAAATTGCCCACTTAAACATTTTTTTCCTCAGTAAATTTTGAATAATTATTCACGTTTCTTGCTGTAATAAAAGATAATTAAATAAAATAAGAGACCTAAAAAAACCTTCTGTAGCAAACAAAGTAATATTTATGATTCCAACACATTGAATTAATGGTATGCAAATAGTGAAGGATTGAAAGGCTGAAATTAAGAATAAACCATCTAATAATGACCATGCTCAACACAAAAGCAAGATAAAAAAAAATAAGAAAGGACTGCATTTTTAACTCACAAAGTTTGTTATTCCATGAACTGGTTTCAGAGTGACTGCATCTTCAATCATTTGCACCTTTAACATGAATAAAGTAAATTAATAACATAAAAGAATAAAAAAATTAATAACATAACCAAAAGTAAAATAAAAAGAAGATGACTGTAGAAAATATGATCTAAATGCAAAGTAATCCTAACATCTTTTTGTTATTTTAGCTGCAAAAAATTCTCTTTACCTTTTCAAGGAATATAAAGAATCTGGAAAGACCAACATATTACCACACCAAACTTTTAATTGCCATAAACATTGAAATCATTTTCACGAAAGGTAAAGTCTAAATAAGCAAGAAACATGTAGTAAACCACTTAAATGGCAGTAGATGGTAAGAAATTTCTCTACAATAATAGGCTAATACTCAATCTGCCATATTTACTCTATATTCACTTTATATTCTAAAAATGTTATCCCCATGAACTCAAACCAATATTCTAGGGACAAAATAAACAAAAATTTAACCAAAAAATGGTATTCTTGTAAAACTAAAATAAAAGGTACTCGTGTAAAAGAAGAAGGCCAGGCAAGCTTCATGCATATACAAATATACAGGGAACAAGTAATTAAAACGACTATCTCAACTAATGGCTCCTTGATCAGTTTCAGTGCTTTTATCAGCAACTAAGAAAACACAATGTTTGTTGAAAAAAAAAACTAAGAAAACACAAAAGTATTTTTTTTTCTTTTGTTTTAAAGAATCCATATACACCCTTCGAAAAATAAGAACCAAAACTTCACAAGGGAAAAAAAATAAGAAAAATAGTTTTCTCAAAAAGAAAGACACAAAAAAAATAACTAAAGTTTTTAACAATCATTGACATGAAATTTGATCTCTGCAAATGGAGACTTTGGGTTGGTTACCATATGGATCGTCTTTTGTGAGTCAATAATTGAACGTACTCCTGCACATAACAAACCAAAAAAAAAAAAAACCGATCAGATGAGCCATGAAAACTCCATTTTCCAGAGTTTCCGGACAATTTTTTCCTTCAGTTTCTCTACCAAGTAATTTTTCCATCCATAATAAATATCATACAAGTTTGTATAGGGGGCTCTAGAGACCCAAAAGAAAGAAACAAGCAACATAGAAACTACTTAAAAAAGAGTACAAAAGTTCAAAAAATTAAAAAATAAAATAGAGAAAACCTGAGATGAAGAAGGACGAAACACAAGGAAGCAAAATTGCCCGCAATGTTTCTCGGTGATGATCTTCTCTTGGCTGCATCTGTCTTGTAAGAAAGCATGGATAAAGAAATAAGGAACAATATAGGCAAAATTTAGATATTAATCAGGTGAAAATTTTTGGGGAATAAAACCAATAAATATAGAAAGGAAAGAAAGACTAAGAGGTAACAATGAACCAGATAGTTTGGAGATAGATTCTCCAAATTTCCTTGCTTCTAGAGCTAAAGAGGATCAAACAGAGAGAGAAGATTTGGAGCAACCTTATTATCCTACAAAGGAAAAAAAAAACACAACAAGCCGCAATATTAGACAACTAAACCGGAGAACAAAAAGGAAAAAAGGCTAGAGAAGTTTAGGCAGGGGAGGAAAGAACAAACCCTTTAAGCAATGAGAATAATGTTCTTGGAGTATTTATATGAAAAACCGTAGGCAAGACACATTGCAAAAGATTTTCCATATCTGAACCTGCAATATCACAATAAATATAAAGTTAGACAAGAAAACCCTCAAAAAAAATCTTTTAAAGACAACCGTATAACCACACCAAGCAATAAACAACTTGAAGAAACCAACTGCGTGTAGTTCTCTTTGTGAACTCCTCTATTTCTTTACCAGTCATAATGCACACAAAAGAAACCAAAAAACAAAATAATCACCAAATGATACCTAATAGTCATAAAATTTAAAAAATGAAAAAGAAAAATTCACAGCCAAGAAATATCTACAAAATAACAGGAAGCTAACCTTAAAAGTCACTCGATTACCATGCAAATGCTTAATTTCTTTTCGTTCCCCCTCCAGAATGATTTGACGTAATTTTTTTTGGGTTGATCTTAGTAGTCAAAGTGAAAGCATTGGGAGAGAGTTAATTGCAAAAGGAAAATTTAGGGAAAGCAGAATCCACCAATAATATTTATTGATGACGAAGAACTAACAAGAGAATCTAGCAGATCTGGAAGCTACCCGGAAAAGATTACGAAAATGAGAAGAAGTGGGTGTTAAATTGTAATTGATTGGTTTCGGAGAGAGGGATGGAAGATCACACAATAAAGTACAAAAAAAAAAAGGATAAAATTGAGGAAACTTGTTCACTCAGTATAACTGTTTGTCAAAAGACGAGAGAAGAAAAGGTGGGAATAGATTGATTGGAGTGATTACCTTGAGCCCCGTAAATTGAAGTGGTCATGATCCCATCAGAAAAGTATTCAGAAGACACACACACATGGAGAGCCAAAGAAATGGACCGGTATTTGGAAACAAATTTAATAAAAACTCCTCGGCCAACAACAAGAATTCCACCTCTTCTCCTACCGAAAACACGTGACTCTCACGTGAATAACGACCACCCTCCAGCCAATAAAACACAGCCACATCAGCACAACAACCACCATCCTTAACAGATCCATTCGCGCTTTTACTATATAGGTTGATTAGGTTGAAGGATAATTTTGTCCTTCAGTGTTCTGGACCTTACACATCCCCTCCCTCCATTCGAGTAATGTCCAATGCCAGCAGCATCCCCATTCCACTGTGGAATTTCCACATCTCCCATCTGCCCTTGTTTTCGGGGAATTTATCAGAGTATTGCTAAAATTGAAAATCTTCACAACTTGGTGCTATTTGATGGAGGGTTCTTAATTAAGGGTCGCTGCAACTCCAATGTAAGGCTTCTAGTAAAAATAATTTTTATTTTTATTTATTTTTGGTTGCTTTAGTTTCTTTTTTTCTTAAATTCCTTCAAACCATCGCCGCTCATTTGATTAGAGACGAAGGTTTTTTTTATTTTTTTGCATCGCAGCGATGTAAAATGTCATAATAAAATCTTTTAGCCCACTTCTTGTGGTATATATTTCTTTTTTTTTATTGAGGTATATATATTTCATTTGCCAAAGAGGTCAAACAAAAGAAAGTACAAATTCAGGAACAAGACTTCCAAGTTGACATCAAACACTTGCAAGTTAAACGCAAGTCGTGCTGTCCCGCACAATGATGGTTATGGTAAGAAGAATTTGTCAAGCAAAACTTCATATTCTTCAGATCCTACTAAATGATGTGAAAAAATAAATCCTATATCTTGTTAATCATAAATTTGATCAGCTTATGTACCAGATAATTATAGTTAAGTGAATAGATAAACAAGAAAGATTTGCACTATACATACAATAGATTTTTTTACAAAGATTTTTTTATTACATATAAATGCGTTGTTAGTTACCTTTATGACTGTATTTTCATCTTTTATGTATCATATCAGAAAAAATGTCACCTTTATGATTATATTTTCATTTTTCATATATCACATCAGAGAAAAGTATTACACATTAATTTCAAAAAAGGGTTTCTGAATAATCTTTTATCCAAATTACAAAACCCATTTATCGGTATATAAAACAATAGATTTTTCAAAAGATTTCCAAGTTATGACAAATTCTGCATTTAACAATGCAGATTTCTTTTCAAATTTATTTATTTTTAATCATGAAGAATCTTTTGACTAAGTTAAATTTTCATATTAATTTTTTTTTTTGCATCGCCGCTCATGATACCTTTTCTTCTCCTTATTCTTTTTTCTTTTTCTAATAAAATGTAATTCTTTTTCTCCTTATTAAAAAAAAGAGTTATGTTTTATTAAAAAAAAGAAAAAAGAATAAGGAGAAAAAAGGTATCGTCACTCATCTCACGAGCGGCGATGCAAAAAAAAATTAATATGAAAAAAAGATTGATATGAAAATTTAACTTAGTCAAAAAATTCTTCATGATTAAAAAAATAAATAAATATGAAAAGAAATCTGCATTGTTAAATGCAGAATTTGTCATAACTTAGAAATCTTTTGAAAAATCTATTGTTTTATATACCAATAAATGGGTTTTGTAATTTGGATAAAAGATTATTCAGAAACCCTTTTTTGAAATTAATATGTAATACTTTTTCTGATGTGATATATGAAAGATAAAAATACAGTCAGAAAGGTGACACTTTTTCTGATGTGATATATAAAAGTTAAAAATGCAGTCATAAGCTAACTAACAACGCATTATATGTAATAGAAAAATCTTTGCAAAAAAAAAATATCGTATGTATAGAGAAAATTTTTCTTGTTTATCTGTCCACTTAACTATAATTATCTAGTACATAAGCTGATCAAATTTATGATTAACTAGATATGACATTTATTTTTTCACATCATTGTGCGGGACAGCATGATTTGCGTTTAACTTGCATGTGTTTGATGTCACCTTCGAAATCCTGTTCCTGAATTTGCACTTTCTTTTGTTTGGCCTCTTTGGCAAATGAAATATATACCTCAAAAAAAAAGAAATATATACCACAAGATTTTGCATCGCGGCTCATCTTATGAGCAGCGATGCAAAAAAAATTAAAAAAAAAAAAACCTTTGCCGTTAATCAAATGAGATGAGCGGCAATGCAAAAAAAAATTTAAAAAAAAAAAAACCTTCGCCGCTAATCAAATGAGCGGCTATGGTTTGAAGGAATTAAAAAAAAAAAAGGGAAACTGAAGCAACTCAAAATAAATGAAAATGAAAATTATTTTTACTTGAAGCCTCACATCAGAGTTGCGGCAACCCCTAATTAAGAACCCTTCATCAAACAGCACCAATTTTGTGACGATTTTCAATTTTAGCAATATTTTGAGAAATTCGCCCTTGTTTTCCCTTTTTAAAGATCTAATTGGCCGTATTTTTTTTAATATATCTTCCCATCAAGTGAAGTATTCCAGCATAAGTCATAGAACCATAGTCCGTATGCTTCTAGATGTTGTGATTAATAAAAGAAAGGTTGAACTTTGAAATGGGTTTGAGTTTGATTATTTTTCCTTCTTTATGTTAAACTGCAATTTGGCTCTATATCACGCAATTCAACATAATTTGATACCGACCCCTCAAAATTTGATATCTTCAACTCCATGAGCAACTATTTATGAGTCTTTTTTTTTTTTGTTTACACCCATTATCTCAAGTTTTGGATGGAACCAATCTGTGGACACAAATAGTTCATGGGACAAAATTGAATTATTTGTGTCCTAGAGGACTAACAGGGCAAACTGCTAATTTTCATATGCGAGATATCCATCCCACCCTGTCACTATGGGTGTATTTGCCCAATTGACACACTCTGCTTTCCCCGAGTTCATTCTCCCAGAAAGTCTGTTTAAATTATTCCATTGGACGGGATAGGGGGAGTAGGAGTTAGGCATAGTGCTTATGCTCCCCTACGTACACCATGAGTAGGTGAGGTTTTTGGGAATTTTGGGCTGAAGGCTTAGCTTGTTGGGTTCTTTCTTCTGATAAGTTTGTTGGATTTAACATTTGGTATTCTGTAGCCTAAAAAAAAAAAATTTGGTATTCTGTCTTTTATCCATATTGCCTTCCATTTTGTTTGTCATTTGACTATCTTACACTTATTGGTCCTATCTACCCTCATATTGTATCCCTTGGAATGCAGCTGGTGGCACCAACTACATTGCAGAACTCAATTCCTCCCCACTGCTAAGGACATGGAGAACCCCCTACCATCCCCCCCCCCCCACACACAAAAGAAAAAAAAACCCCAACTTCACTTTAATGGTCTTCTCTTTTTTTTTTTTTTTATCTCTTTCAATTGAAGTATGGTTTCGATGATAATCTCTGGTCATGTACGGGACTCTTTTATATACAATGGTTCGATAGTTCGATATCTCTAATCTTTCTTTGCTTT